AATTCTTCCTAGAAGACATGGATTTTTTTTTTAGCTTTCTTTTGTTGGCAAATGTTGTTAAATGATCTGAATATTTCTTTCAATAATGTAACCACTGCGGCAGATTGTATCTCACCTTGTTGCACTGGCTTCATAAACCTTCAGGCTAATTCTTCCAGAGAAACGTTCTTATCCCGCCACAACAGGTCAACTAATGAGAAAATTAGACGACCGCTCTCATTTATCTCACCTACTCGCATTCAGTCTCTTAAATTATGCAAGGCTGGATAGATCATACAGAGCATTATTATGAGAAGCCCAAACAGTAATACCTCGAGTATGTTGCAATTTAGTCAAAACTGGTAATAACCAGAGATAATGAGTGTGATTCTCATTAGCTTCAAGGCCTTTGTCGAACTCAAACTGCAGAGGATTTTTTAAATTAGTGTCACCAGGACCGCTACATGACCAGCATCAACTATTTGAAAGGACTGTTTAAAAAAAGCAAAGCCATTTTGGGTACTCTGTTGGCAATGAAAAGGGAAAGAGCGGCTGTTGAAACAATGCAGTTGTGCGAGTAAGACGGCTTGTTTGTTTTGTTTGAATGGAAATAAAGATCTTTCATGTTCAAAGAATGCCTCCCACAGAGTATCTTTTCCTCTTTTTCCCTTCATAGTTGAAACTGTCGAGCCAAACAGTGGCCGAAAGGCTTTTAGTACCCTGTAGCAGTTCAATGTTAAAATGCCCGTGGATAAATGCAGAGACGCTTGGACACATTTAAATAATTACCAGCAGGCTTTATTCTTTAGAACCACAAGCTTTTATAAAATCGATATTTAACTCTTGAAACGTAGTGGCTCCATCTTCACAGTTATTGTGGGTACAAGTCAGTTCTTATGTGCCGGGCAGTCTGAGTGATCGTGTCCTTGAGGTCAATTAGCCTTGAGGGAAATAATGAGTGTGGTGCCCCAGCTTTACCCTGCTGCTTAAGACCACTGCGGCCACACTTTAAAGACATTATTCACAAAGCATCATTTCATAGCTGTGAGTAAGAAAAACTTCCTGACTTGACAGAAAGCGCTGAGTTTATTTCACTTTGCAGAGTAATCAGAACTTTGGAGTGCTTTCCACATCAACCACTTTTGCCGAAGACTCATCCTAATTAGAAGTGGAATGTCGGATGTCTAAGATAGAAAGGGAAGACGCTACCTGAACTTCAGTTCCAGTAGATGTATAAACATAAAACTGCAGAAGTCTCACATACATCACTAACACCAGGAAATGAATGAAGGTAAATATGCAAAGAATGATGATAGATAGACAAACTGACTGAAATGGGACTCTCAATCATGCTGGTGCCATTAATGTGTTTTGGAACAAATAACATGGCTCGCTGTGAGGAACAGACTGTAGAATAATTTTTTGCTTCAGTTTTGTTGAGTGAACTTCTAATATCTCTTTTTCTACTCAGCTTTAATTAGCAGATGTGCATCTGCCTACAACAATTTTCCCTAAAAATGAAAGTGAGACGCTGCACTGATTAAAACCTTTGAAGATAAATTAAACATGCATAAAATTGTGACAAGATGTGAAATGATAATGCCTGATACTGTACTTGTCAGTTTTAACATGTGCATACACTTAAAATAGCACATGCAAGTTTGGAAGTACAACATTTGAGACACAGCATGCCATTTGGCTGTAGCTTTAATACTGTGCAAGAAAGTGATTCATTTCCTCACATGTACCCAGCCTAAAAGGTCCCTTTTATATTTTATCATGTGTGGTATCTAATGATCCTATGATACTATCAGGAAGTCACTTTTCATTATCTGTAAAAATTTGGAGATAAAGTTGCCTTTGAGGTCTGCATTTTATTTTTACGTACTTTTAGGGGTTCAGAGTGTCTTCAATGAAGGGTGGAAATTCAACCCTTAAATCAGTAAACCAAGGTGAAAATAATAATCATTGAGAGAAGTGATGAAGAGGTGTAATTTCAGAGAGTACATTAATTCTCAACAAAAAGGTTAAAAGTGTATCAGCAATTAGCAATCAGCAATCAGCAAATGAACACCTGTAGACACAATCACTGCCAGTGCTGGCTTGATGAAAACACTTCACTAAACATCCAGTTTAAGCATCCAATTCTTGTTTTATTTAGCTCTTATTGTATCATATTTGGATGATGTTCCATACTAAGTCACCCGGTGCCTGCTGCTCATATGTATGAGAAAGCACAGTGTGTCTCAATCCTAATATACTTTGATTAATAATTAATAATTGCAAATCCAACAAAGGTGGATTTGTTGCTACTGTGATTTCAGAATCTATTTAGGCCCCTTGTTTGAGCGCTGCAGCATAGCTGGAGCTCTCCTAGCACCCATAAACTGGCCCACTCAAGTGTCAAGCCAATATCTGCATATATTAAGACTTAGTCATGAAAAACAACAGGCTGTCTTTAATGGGAAAATAAAAATGCTCTGCAGACAAAGACTGCAACACACACATATTTTTAGCAGCATAGCCCTAAAGGTGACCGTGTTAGTCTGTTAATGACGTAAGCATCTGTGCCAAATAGATCCAACAGAATAAATGTTCATTTTTGAAGAAACACAGCTTTTTCTACGCTGGATGATTTTCTCTATGCTTTGACTTGGGTCAGTTTTATAGAATTCATTCGCTAAGTTTTATAAAATAAAATAAAATAGCTGTGTATGACTAGTGATGGAAAAAATACAGGTAAATGAGGGTGAATCAGAGACTCTTTAGGTAGGTCTCAAGGCTTAAGGCACCAGATTCACTCCTTTGTAAACTCTTGCATACTTGTAAACTTGTAAACTATGTAAAGCCACAAAACATACGAGTGAATGATAGATGTTGATATCTGCGAGATTTAGATAACTAAAAGCAGACTAAAGTCTGAAAAGGGGTTCAAACATTTATTACCAGTAAAGATTGCTGTAATGCTGCTTTCCTGGATTTACAAAAGCAGGTGTTAAAAATCCCCCAGTGAAATTATAAAATGTTCTTCCAGCACTGCTCGACATACTTGTAATGGATTTTTATATGACTGCCTTAGTTTCCTCCATTGTTGACAATGTCACTGAATAAACACTCAGTCAAACAAATGTCTCCTCACTATACTGAGAGTCAAATTTAAATCACATTCATTCATTGCGGTCTGCTTATTTTAAAATCTAGTGTCATTATTCCTTTTTATTCCTTCTTCTTTGATTCCTTTTAGCTGTGCTACCTTCTCCGTTTTGTGTTTTTAGTTGACTTTTTTTTAGTGTGGGCAACACCCTTGCTCCTGTCACGTATGATCTGCCTTTTTTTGCAAACACATTTAGACCGTGCATCTTGTTTGGAATGTGCTAAATCAATAAACCTGACATTCTTCATACAGGGAGTGCAGAATTATTAGGCAAGTTGTATTTTTGAGGAATAATTTTATTATTGAACAACAACCATGTTCTCAATGAACCCAAAAAACTCATTAATATCAAAGCTGAATGTTTTTGGAAGTAGTTTTTAGTTTGTTTTTAGTTTTAGCTATTTTAGGGGGATATCTGTGTGAGCAGGTGACTATTACTGTGCATAATTATTAGGCAACTTAACAAAAAACAAATATATACCCATTTCAATTATTTATTTTTACCAGTGAAACCAATATAACATCTCCACATGACACACAATACTCTGGTTTGCTGCGGTGGATTGGTTCTGTGTAAACTGACGTGCAGTCTGGATTGCAACAGCGCACAGAGATGATAATCATTTAACCTTGTTTGTTTGTTTTGAGAGGAGACATATCTCTTATGCCCCTCAGTATGAGATCGGCATTGTAGAAGGCGAGGTTATTATAACGATATTATGATTTTTTTGGCCACAGGGATTTCTGGCTCTTTTTCTGTCTAGGAAATGTTGTGAGTGTGTTATTTCCATTCCAGGACTGTATCACAATCTTTAGTTGCCTTCAGTCACCCATCTAACAGCAGCTCTAACAACTCTATTCTGAGACACAATAGCTCACAGGAATTACACCTGACGCTTTTCCTTCCAATATGTCTTTTTGAATAAAACATACTGAGCACAACCATAAAATAATAGTACTTTTTACACACTGCAGTCACACACCGCTGACTGAGGAACAAAATTGGACTCTTACATACAAAAAAATGTGCACATTTATTTTTTTTTCACCATTATGGGGTCATAACAGAACCGAAGGGGGAATAATATGCTGAGATTGACTTGTCACATGTGGATATATCTTTACTTCTGCAGTTTCCATTTAAGTAGATAAATAAGGGATAATAGGTTTTGTGATCATTCTCAGTGGAGGTACCATATAGCAGAACTAAATAAATCAGAATGGATTGATTTTATGTTGTTTACTCTTTTGGATTTCATTTCCTCAGTCTCTTTGTTTATTATTTTTACAGTTTATTCATGATGTTTGGCTTTCACTTCTGGTGGTTATATGCTGCTAAAACTTGGCATTATCATCCAAAGGCAATTCAAAACAAGTATTTATTTAAGAAAAAAAAATAAAGGAAAATTGCATATATACATTTGCTCCGGTTGCAATGAACATTCTCAGTATGAGCCATGCGTTCCACCTCATCATCATACTTCATGTTAACATTTCCCACCACTTGTCTAAAATTGGACACCCTGGTGAGTGTGAGCCAGCCTACAACCGGCCCTCCCCTCCTCCCTCAGCCAAGTAACCCACTGGACAAATATAAACCTTTGTGTGAGTCTACAATCAAAAGACAGTGATTATTCTCATTTTAAAGGTGAAGGGGAAGTACGGCTCTTTCTAGATGGTGGTTGCCATGGATTTCTCTCAAAAGGTTTTGGTATAATGGCACATCCCACTTCTGATGTCAGCGCTCGAGGAAGGGGAGGAAAAAGGATTCGAGAGAGAAAGTGAGAGTCGAGGGAAAAGGAAAGGGAAGGAGGGAACGAGGGAGGGAGGGCGAGAGGAGGGGAGGCAGCCTGTTGCTCATGATTATCAAATAGCGTTCTCGTACTCCACAAGCCCAGTGCCTTTGCATAGATGGACCAGAGTTGAAGGAGGTAGCAGCAGTGCCTGAAAATACACTTCACATTTTCCCTCATGTACATTCTTCTCATCGCCTTCAGGCTTCTTCAGCAAACTAACAGCTGCAGAGGAACTGATTTGAGAGCGCAGTGAGTATGGATTTTTTTGTTTACATGTTTTTAAACTTAATGCTTGTTGTATAGAAAAAAACAAACAATACTCCTTAGTTGTAGGTGACACTTTGGGAGTTTTTCTCATTCGTGCGTTCGGTGTTTAAATTCCAAATCATGTATGTAAATAGCTGCTTCCTCAGGCTTGATATTATAACTGTGTGCGCCATGTGCCTACCTGTTAGTGTTTTCTTAGGTCACACTGATGTGCTGTCAGTATTTCCTTTAAAGTAACTTGAAGGGTGCATCAGCAGTGTCAGTTGTAATCAGACTGAGCTAATTAATGGTTTCCTGTGAGGTCCACTTTTCATTGAACGAGGAATTATCTGTCTCGAACAGATGACCGAGACTTGCATGCCCGATGTGCTGCATGTACGCCATGGTAACAAGGGTGCAGCAGCATGACACTGTATGATGTGTAAACATTTACTGAGACAGGGTTCGATGCAGAGACAGATTTTGTCTGGCATGCTCTCTGAGGAGGGACATATATTTGATATATATATATATATATACATTATCTTTGCAGTGTCCTTTGAAATGAAAAACACTTTTCAAAATCTAATTTTAAACTGAAAATTGATGTAAGGGAAACTTTTGAACGTGGGAACAACTTCAAGTCCTCAAACAGCGTATCACAGCTTATGTTTCTGTCAGTGAACCCATATGAGATCAGTTCAAACACAGCACATGGTTTCATTCTGAAGATGATTTTAGATAATGGCCCATAATGTGATTAGAGTCCGCAATGCAAATCCCTCTTTGGAGACCTTGGAGCAGTGATATATGATATGTAATCCATCATCCTCTCTCCCTCCACCAGGTAATTGTGACTCTAATGAGATGAACTAATGACTTTTCCTATTCTAATAACTAATAGTGGCTCTCTGATTCTACTCCACAAAAAAGATCCATAAAGTAATTATAGTATGCTTCTCAGGTGCTTTTACGTTTAAGGTGCTTGAGAGACATCTCCTGATCTGCTGTTTCCCTGAGCACCAGTGGGTACCCAAAGAGATCTGCAGCCAGGGCTCGGACTCAATACAAATTGGGCGATGGATGTGCTTTGAAAGTGTAAGTAAGAAAAAGTCCTCGTCTTTCCTTCTGAAGTCTTTTATCTGCACAGACTTGGATGTGAATTTAGTCCATCTTCTAAAACCCTTGGCTCTTTCATGTTCTGATTTGACCGTTTAGGTTTTTAACCAGTTCAAGCTGTGGTAAAATGTAAAAATACAACTAACTTAACCAACACACAGATGTGGTGTCCTTTGACAAGAAAGCTTTTATTTTCTACACTCAGCACTGACCATCAAGTGTCTAATTTCCCACTTAAAGGACAACTGTTAGTTTACAGTCCATTTATACCATCTCATCAGCTTATTTTAAGTTGAGTTGAGTTCTTCTTTTTTCCTTGCTGATCTTTTAAGCGACTGGTGCGAGCACCTTCTGTCACTTCAGCCTGCAGGGACTTGCGCTGCGCCCTAGTGCAGAGGTCTTTTGAAACACTCTGTCCAAAGTGACAGACAGTCGGGTCTTCTCTGCAGTGAGGTTGTGATGCCTGCACACATGCTCGCTGTCTTTTATCTGCTGCTTGTGAAAAACACATTATTTACACAGCCCTGAAAGATTAGGTGGTCGGATGATTGCAGCTCGACAGGAAAAGGGCAGCAAGAGATGAAAAGTGAGTATCGGTTAATGCACGCAAACGATGCAGAGAACTTAATGTTATGCAATCTTTATATAATCAAGTTAGATGAGCACTCGCAAATAGTGAGAGTGTGCAATCATCCACTCAGGAAAATTCCTGAGATGAAAAAGAAAAACACATGCTGTCGTTATACATCGGATGTGAGTGATGGGTGTAATGTTGAGGTGTTTTGTGTGCTGACTAAATATTGTGTGTCACAGTTTGTCAGGGATCAGAGGACGGGAAGTGCTGAGGCATGATATGGAGCAGTGAGGTAGAAGCCTAGAGAGTCGGTGGGCCGGCTCAGATCGTGTCTGGGGAATAGAGCCCTTTAAAAAGGAAGGACGGGCAGAGGACAGATTGGAAAATAAACTGTGGACAGAAAATGACAGAGGTGTGATGCTTCTCATTTGCTCTTTGTTACACGACATTTTATTCCAAGCGAGACATGAAGAAGTACTTGAATTGCATTTCAATAATTGACTTTTAAGCTTTTCAAACGACATTTTTATAAAATGAAAGGTGGTTTATTTTACAGATACATTTCATTCTGTTGCTGCTTTTCACTCCAGTTGAATTGAACAGTGAACAGGATGAAAAAGAGTGGCCATTAGTGCTGAGATAGCTCATTACTGAAACATATTATCTGCACAGAATACTTCTGTACCTCAGAAGTAGAGAGCAGCACACTGTGGTGGACCACAGACAGAGTTGGGGAGACATTTATTGCCCTGGAGCTATACTGTAGCTTCTTCCAGGGTTCTCGGCATGCATTAATACCACCCACATCCAACAAAAAAGAAACACTTTTGTTTACAACTATTCCTGCTTGAATTACTGTAAGGAAAGGTCTTCGGGGTAGGATTGCTTCTGGCATGCCTGACTGTTTCAGTGTTTAACCAGATTTCAGAGAGAGAGAGAGAGAGACAGTTGGGTCTTGGCAGCTCTTGCGGTCCATTTCTGGAAACACCATCCTCTTATAGTCCATTAGAGAACAGTGAGCTGTTAAGGGAATAGGAGCAGAAGTGGTTGTTGGGGAGAACAAAGGGAACATTGTGTGGTTTAAATGGTCATTAAGCCTGAGAGGACATGACTGACATGACTTCATTGTCAGGTGACATGCGCTTTTCTGGAACATCTCTATAGAGAGCATTTATTTTACAGCACGTCATTGCTTTAAATATGGTTGAGGGGCTACATGCAAGAAAATAAGACCGAACTCTACACTTTGAACAGCTGCCACTGGAAAGCTTAGAGGTTTCGATTTTCATCAGAAACACTGACAAAAATCCGATACTCATCAAATTACCATGTGTCTGTATTTCACAGAATGAGTCAAGCTGAATTGCAAATCTTTGATTCAGAGACAGATTGGTAAAATCTGTCTTACACAGCACTTCCAGCAATATGGAGATATGCAGCAATAAATAGGCATCGCTAAGTAAACTATTTGTATCTCTTTGCGGGGACAAACACATAGACACTCTTCAGATGTTCATTTTTACTATTAAATTTGAATATGAACCACCCATACTGAACAAAATTCTTTAACACATGCCTCTGCAGGCAGGTAAAAAGAAAATAACAGACACATCTCAACAGTTACAAAACATTTCCTTATTTTTAAAAGCTTACAATTTTTTTTTAATTGCTCTTTGATCTTGTGGTCATGATCACTAGTGGGCTCTTTAAAATGATCTCAGTCAATATTGGTGGTATTAAAAGTCTCCAAAGACTCTTGAGGAGGGAACCATGGGAAATGCATGCACAATACTGTCAGGCAACTGAGACTCACAACCCAGTGACTCACCAGGCAATCTGGAGAACATGCCCTGTGGCTTAGCTGTGATAACGCTGGCACAGAAAGAGGCCAGACCTCAGCCGATCTGGTGGGGAGAACAGCCTTCGCTGTCTTTGCAGCGTTTCATCTCTCCTTCTCCTTCTAGACTTTGTCCCCCAGAGGAAACATCAGAGGCGCAACATTGCACAGAAAGGAAAACAAAACAAAACAAGAGTTTAAAAAAATGCTCCTGTGACTGCGGAGATGGAAAAGCACAATCGGTTTAAAGGCAAAGTGAGAAATCAAACAGCCTCAAGGGGTTAAGTGTGATTTAATCTAGTAGGAGAGTGGCGTAGGCTTGTGCACATCCACACCGGCGATGCATTGTAGGCGTATTGATAACCTCCACCGCATGGAGGGAGAGTGTGAGAAGAATCAAAAAGGAGGGATTTTGCCTTTTTTGAAAATTTATTTTCATTCTTGTGTTTGGCTTTTGTTTAATGGTACTACTGTTTATTTTGCAGGGAGCGTTTATATTTAAGAAAAGTGGGAAGCGATTGAATGTGAATCTGCTGATGGCCTGCATGATTTCCCTGACTGCACTGGGGTTTTGTTATAATCTGACCTCAGGGGTATTCCACATGTGACGAGTCCAATAAAAGGCAAAAATCTATATTATCAGGAAGTTAATGCAACAAGGCAGAGCACTGGAGGGAAAAGCTTCGGGCGGGTTTGCTCTGATTTCAGGGGTGAAAGATGGTGCTGACTGTAATCAGTGGCTCACACAGGCTGACAATGCAGGTGCCTAATAACCATTCAGTTGACACATTCACATCCCCATTTTAGAATCCTTACTCAGAATTTGGCCAAGCAGCAATCCAGGCACTGACATTTTAATTTCTAACTGGCTAACCTGCCTCCCCCTAAATCACTGTAATTGATTAAATTAGTTTGGACAGAGGCCACAAGGCCGTCACTGCACTGGTGATAAAGTGGTAAACATTTTCCAGTTCCTTCTCTTTCTTATTGCAATATAGTGCTGCTCCTCTTCTCGTGCTCGTCTCTTGTTCTGCCGAAGAGTCTTTGGTAAATGTGCATAAGCTGGCACTCGGAACAGCCTGCATAACTGTGTGATTGCACGTTAGTACACACACACCTCAACCGACACCTAACTGCGTTTTAAAGCCTCCCGCTCTAAATGTGAGAGAGCCAGAAATAGCACAGACGGATTATTAAGTGTGTTTGAAAACAGCCTCTTCAGTATCTGTAGGATAACAGTTACATCAGTGAATTACTGAGTCAGTACAGCATCACTGGGTGACAAATCTTTATACAAAAATGTGAGGAGTTAAATAGTTGCCCACATAAATGTATACTGTTAAGAGTTTAACATTTAATCATGATCTGTTACCTCAGTCCAAAGAAACGAATGCCTCATTGTTATTTGCCCTCCTTTTCAAATTAAAGTAACAGTACGACTTTGGGGTAAATACATGGAATCAAGTCTTGAAATGGGGACACAGTTAGTCAGGCTCATTCCAAAGTTACACAAATCCACATATTGTCCCCCAAAGCTTAGTTTATTCCACTCAAAACATATGACAAGTTAAACTGTTGTCGCCAAAGCATTGTTTCCCCTTCTTTGTCTCCTCATATTAAGTAAAGTTGAACAGTGCCTCTCTGTCACTCCATAATTAACACAGAAACCTCAGAGTGGTATCAGTTTTGCCATTAAACTGAGGACAAATTCTATTTTAAAACGTATAATACAGTAAATACAATCTCATGTAGCAAAGCAGGGTTGAATTTCTGTTTATGTCCACCAGATATCTTTGCCCCCTAGTGGCCATTCATTGGCTAATACAGCTTACCTCTCCAGCGTTGGGATTTGCATCTTGCGGCTTTATAGCAGGGTGTATTCACCGAGACCAGTGTGTGTGATCGAGCCAGACACTGGAAGGAGATATCTGCAAATATCGTTCAACGACCAGAATACTATTGTTATGTTTGAATGAGTGGAAATAAACAGTATGCAAATTAACCTACAGCAATATGTAAATGTCACCTCAGTTCATTCTCTTGTAAAGTTATGCAATTCACTATACTAAACATTTACCTCAAGGCAGAGCAACAGCAATAAATATTATCATTGTCATCATCATCATCATCATCATACTTTCTTTACTTATTGTTGTTGTAACAATATTCCTTGAGGTTCATGTTTAGTACATTAGATAAGGAAGCAAACAGAAGCAATAATATCAAGTTAAAATAGGTAAATTAGTCAAAAAAAGAAAAGAAAAATATTTGCTGTAACATTAAAGTAGTAATAAGGAAAGTAGGAAAACGCTAATAAAATCTAAACTTTTTCCAATGGCGCTGTTCTAAAAGGGACTAGATACTAAACTAGAGTGCACTATGACAAAATAAATGTTGAAAGACATTTTTAAAGTAAGGCCTTATAAAACCCAGAAAGACTTTATTTACAAATGCCTACAGCTGCAGATTCCTGTAAACCCTGAGGCACAGTGTTCTGCGGCGCATAGTTAATAAAAGCTACTGCTTCATGACTTCAGTGCGGCTCAAACTTCAGCCCGAGGCTCGAACAAGCAGGAAACACCATCCAAGTGCGGAAACGCGCATATTTTAATCTATTTAATCATCACACGTTTAAAAAGAAGAATATTAAGGTTTTATTACAAGTCAGTGTGACATATTTAATGGAAGTAATGTTAATGAAAACAGTCTTCTAGGATTTCACTAATATGTTTACACATATTAATATTATGCTCGGTGGAGTTTCCCCGCTGTAGCTTTACAATAGCTGAAAAGTGTGTTGGTGGTAATGTTTCACGCAGCTTTCTTGCTTTCATTTCTACAGTGAGTGGGCTGTTCTGCAGGCAGAGATTGTTTACATATCACTCTGCTTTTCTTATAATTTCACGTATCCATTTGAATCATAATGCAAACAGTCCGAGTGCCTCCTGCTGCAGTAAAGTGCATTGTGATGGTATTCATTTAGTAAGAGTGTACTGCTCAGTATGTTGGCAGGTGAATTGAAGTACTTCTCACAGTGATATGATGATTTTAACTGACCTGGACACCATGACTTTTTTGTCTCAAGCTTCCTTATAATTGAACCTCATAACTTTGTCTGTTGTTTGCATTTTACTCTTTATCAAATAATAATGGACTTTTCTTTCTCTGCGTGTATTACTAGTCAGTGTAATACTGCTGACTGTACCTTGGTCAGGACTCTGTTGCTAAAGAGATTTTTAAACATTGCTTTTTAATTAGTTTGGCCGATTGTGTCAAACCTGCACTGGTGCACTAACTTCAGACTCTCTATTGTTTCTGTGAAGGTAACAGTGTGTTGATGGGAGGTTGAGCACAGGGATGTGAGCGGACCGGTAAAGATGACCCTGCTGGCGGGTGACGGCTCTGACTATGACTACAGTGCCCTGAGCTGTGCCTCTGATAACTCCCTCAACCCTCCCCTCCCACAAGAGAAGGAGGCTCACAAGGGAGCCTTCTATAAAAGGGCGCAGCCTGCCCCTGAGCTCAGCACCATCCACGATAACACACTCCTGTCCAGTGCCCGTAAACTCCATGCCATTATCAACGTGGGTGGCCTGCGTTACCAGCTGCCTTGGACCACCCTAGAGGACTTCCCCTTGTCACGTCTGGGCCAGCTGCACCTCTGCAGCAGCTTCGATGAGATTATGCGCATCTGTGATGACTATGATGTCACACACAACGAGTTCTTCTTTGACCGCAGCCCCTGTGCCTTCCGTAACATCCTGACCTTTCTGCGGGCGGGCAAACTGCGGTCCCTCAGGGAGATGTGCGCCCTCTCCTTCAGAGAGGAGCTGCTGTACTGGGGGGTTCCAGAGGAGAGCCTGGAGTGGTGCTGTCGCAGGCGTCTGCTGCAGCGCATGGAGGAGTTTGAAGCCATGGAGAGAGCAGAGGAGGAGGAAGAACTCCTGGAGGATCTGCTGGATTCAGACAGTGGCCACAGGGGACGCGCGGCTGAATCTAGACTCAGTCGGTGCATGGCTAAGCTGAGGGACATGGTGGAGAGGCCTCACTCTGGCCTCCCAGGGAAGATCTTTGCCTGTTTGTCCGTGCTGTTTGTCACCATCACTGCCATCAACTTATCCATCAGCACCATGCCGGCCATGAGGGAGGAGGAGGAGTTGGTAAGTAGAAACGTGGTGTTTGACACAGCACATGAAGATTAAAAATGATATAAAAAAGAAGAGGTTGTAAGGCTACAAAAGCAAAACAAAATGGTTTCTGTGAGGTACAGTTGGGACAACAACAGGTTTTGTCCCAAAGCTTCTGAGGCTCTTACAGCTGATAAATGTGGTTAATATTGTTATGATATCCAATTTTTTCAAAATAGCTGCCCAGAAGACTCAATTTCCAGTGTCTAAAATTAAAGAACTGATTAGCTATGGTTAAGTTAATAATTAACCAGTTATCTAAATGAAGACAGAAGAAGCAGAAAAGTAACTTGTGCCTAAATATAGTTCATTTTTGAAGTATTTGTATTAATAAGGAAAAAATGAGAATATCACAAACTTTGCAAATCGAGTCATTTCATTCTAAATTTGACAAACATTTCAAATATAAGAATTCATTTTGAAACCAATATAGTTAAAACAGTTCACCAAAACTTGTACTCTGTTTTAATTTCATTTCTATTTATATATTTTTAATTCATTTTAATGTATTTGTCATTAAAAGTGCTTTGCACAGCCACAATACATAAAGAGATGCCACCATACTGACAATGAATATGTGAACCCAGCAGGTTTATGTCGTTTTTTCTATCCATTCTTTTTAAACTGATGTATCCAAAGGGAAAAAAAGAGGTTATGTGCTTTACAAAAACCCCTCAGCCATTAAAGAAAATGCTAATAATGTCACGTCATTTTAAAACCTCATTCCAGTAAGAGAAGGAAGGCTGCTGAGAGAGCCACAATTTTTCCCCCAGATTAGAATAAATGTTTGAAGACGTCTCAGGCTGCTTTCATGAAATGCTTCCATTATTATGTCTGACTTCAATCACAAACATAATTAGCACCCCAGCCTTTTTAGTCAAATCAAAGGAAAATTGAATATCTGAGCCACACACGCAATCTTCTCGCAGAGTAAAGTGCAAACAGGTTGTGAATTAATTAATTGATTTGTCGTGAAAGCTTTTGTGAAAATTAAAAAAGCAGGCTTTTGATAGAAGTGCAGATTGACTGCAAACTCTTTGATTTCCACTGTGGGGGAAAAAGTTTATGTTGTTTTTTTCTTTCTTTCGGTTTTAAGTTGTTCAGATAATCAAGTGCAGATACAGTAAGTGTGGGAAATGGGTGGAGTGCAAAACGTTCGCTCCTGTACAGTGAGACATTAGCTCAGGAGTGAGGGAACTCCAGGCCTCGAGGGCCGATGTCCTGCAGGTTTTAGATGTGTCCTTGATCCAGCACAGCTGATTCAAATGGTTAAATTACCTCCTCAACATGTCCTGAAGTTCTCCAGAGGCCTGGTAATGAACTAATCAAGTGATTGAGGTGTGTTGAGCCAGGGTGAGATCTAAAACCTGCAGGACACCGGCCCTCGAGGCCTGGAGTTGCCCACCCCTGCATTAGCTGCAGATGAGTTAAACATCACCTCTGTCACACTGTTAAACCAATAACTGCCTAAGAAAACGGGGGAGGGGAAAAAAAGAAAAACAAAATTGAAAAAGGAAATGAAAAGCTGCTTGTTGTCTGATTTAGTCACTGATTTATTCATCTGACACCCTTGCACTGTATTCTCACTTGAGAGTCTGAATTCATTTGTTTTTAAAATAAAGTGCCAATGATCTCATTCTAACAGCTCCTCAACAAGACGACAAAGCCTTGCATTAAAAGTACACAAGTGTTTCAGGTTATCTGGAGTTTTCAGGTGGTCAGGCCACTTCCTCCTCTGTGGGAGTATGTTTCATAATAATGATATTATTCCCTGATATGGACTGCATTCAGCGGCTATTGCAGTATGTGCTTTTAAATGCTTTGAACCATATTTCAACCACGCACTGAATCATGAAGAAAAATACACTGCTTCTGGAAGTGTGGCGGTATCGTTTTAGACGCTTTGACCTAAGATTTAGTGCCTAATGACATTACTTTTTCCCCCATAACCAAAACTGGTGGTTTGATCTGTAATGAGCAATTATTTTTATTTTTTCATTGTCTTGGCTGCCGTGCTGAGGGCTGCAGAGTCCTACCACTGTTTAGCGTTTGAATTTCACACTGAGGTGGCTCCCTCTAGTGATTCGACCTCATCTACATGATGGTGACCACATTTTGTTTCTTTCCTAAACAGGGGACCTGTTCCCAGATGTGCTATAATATCTTCATCGTGGAGACTGTGTGTGTAGCCTGGTTCTCCCTGGAGTTCACCCTGCGCTTCATCCAAGATCGCAGCAAGCTGACCTTCCTCAGACAGCCCCTGAACCTGATTGATGTGGTAGCAATCCTGCCGTACTACATTACACTAGTGGTGGACAGCACTTCCAAAGGAGAGAAGAGGCTGGGCTCAGGCAACACATACTTGGACAAAGTGGGCTTGGTGCTGCGTGTGCTGAGGGCCCTGCGTATCCTCTACGTGATGCGGTTAGCTCGCCATTCCCTGGGCCTGCAAACTCTAGGCCTGACAGCACGCCGCTGCACACGGGAGTTTGGACTGCTACTCCTTTTCCTGTGTGTGGCGATCGCACTATACTCCCCCCTGCTGTACTTGATTGAGAATGAAATGGCCACCACACAGGAATTCACAAGCATCCCTGCTACCTACTGGTGGGCTGTCATCACCATGACAACAGTGGGCTATGGGGATATGGTGCCAAGAAGCATCCCGGGTCAGGTAGTGGCTCTGAGCAGCATCCTAAGTGGCATCCTCCTCATGGCCTTTCCCGTCACCTCCATCTTCCACACATTCTCGCGTTCCTACGTGGAGCTGAAGCAGGAGCAGCAGAGGCTCCTGCAGAGGAGGACACACTTTCTACTGCGGAGCCGCATGGCCGGGCTAGGCAGCAACCTGTCCTTAGAGAGCGACATGCTCTTTCCTATTGGGTCGTCTGACATGAGAGAAATGGATGACTGAGACTGCAGGACAACTGAGGACATGAGAGAGTGGGTCTAGAATAGAAACCAAGGATGAAGGAGGTAACGCATGGGATTGAATGTGTAACTAAGACAGGAAGAGAGGCTGACATTCGATGGATTGGCTGGTTGAAAGGGGCGTCAAAAAGTGAGACACAGAAGAGACAGAGATTATTTTTTCTTCCCAAAAAATGCAGCTTGATTTGTAGCAGTGTACACTTAAAGAAAATGATGAAGAGATGAGAGAGAAATAAGAACAGCAAAAAAGGATCTCTTTATTAAGCGCATATAAGAGCAAACATAAGTCCAGCTGACAAAAAAGATAAAATACGCATAAACCTCGAGCTTACCGGTGACCTGTAGTGTTAAAACAGTCATATTCTAAAACGTGTTTATGAACAGAAGACATGCCTGAAGAGCACAGTCACAGCTTCACATCATTCAACAACATTGTGATGTTTTTTTTAATCTCTGGTTTCAGTGGATTTGGTGATGTTGTGTGCTCTCGGGACAGTGCCAGTTAACTGAAGATGCTGTTTGCTTTTGTTAAGTCCCAAAGATATAAATTCCTTCCCAACTACAATGTGACCCTTGATCAACTCATTATTTTCTAACTGCTTTGAAAACATTGAAACTTATGTTGGGGTTCCTTAATAATACTGTGGCACAGCCAGCATCTACACATTACTTATGATGTCCTAACTGTCCTTCTTCTACACTTTGGGGTTCATATGCAATTTTTGAACACGTTCTGGAAACAGCATTATTGTGCTTGTAATTACTGCATTTGCTGTGCATAGCTGTTTATAAACTATATCTCACTTTAAATTGGATTTGAGTGGAATCTCTCCTTTTTTCTGTTGATGATTCATTGATGCCTCTTGTTTTAACTTCAACTTTTCACTTTAGAAACAGGGAAAGGAAACTGTTTTACTAAACTGATGCCTAAAGACATCATCCATGGGAACCAGACTCTCTTGGTGAGCTTCTCTTTGCAGACTGTATCAGTTATATTGTTATAAATTGATATTTCATTCTCATCTATTCGGTTACTGATGGTTTACACCAGTGGTTTTCAAACTGTGGGCCATAGGCAGTTTCACTGCAGGTAGCATGTGGACGATTAGGGTAAATATATGCAATGACAGCATTGAAAATATTGTGATTTTCAAGGAGGGCAAATAACAATGTAAATTTATTATTTATTTAGTATTGACTCTCCAATAATACATACAGGAAAAAAAAAACCAACAATCAAATGACCCCCTCTGAGCAAGCACTTTGGCGACAGTGGGAAAGATTCCCTTTTAACAGGAAGAAACCTCCGCAGAACCAGGCTCAGTGAGGGGCGGGGCCATCTGCTGCGATCGGTTAGGGTGAGAGAAGGAAGACAGGATAAAAGACATGCTGTGGAAAAGAAACATAGATTAATGACAAGTATAATTCAATGCAGAGAGATCTATTCATTCATAGTGTGTGAGAAAGGTGACTGAAGAAGAAATACTCAGTGCATCATGGGAATCTCCCAGCTGTCTACACCTATTGCAGAATAACTAAGGGAGGATTCAGGGTCACCTGATCCAGCCCTAACTATATGCTTTAGCAAAAAGAAACGTTTTAAGCCTAATGTTAAAAGTAGAGATAGTGTCTGTCTCCTGAAACCAAACTGGAAGCTGGCTCCACAGAAGAAGGGCCTGAAAACTGAAGGCTCTCCCTCCCATTCTACTTTTAAATACTCTTGGAACAAGTCTGCCATGTCAGAGCGAAATGCTCTAATGGGGGTACTGACATAAATGCAGTGATGAAACGCCAAGAGGCACAAGGCAGTGATGGACTGTCTGAAGTATTCTAATGAAGTATTTGTCTGTTATATTTATGCGCTTCCTTTTCACCTACTTAATACAGTAATACCTTTCTCTGCAAATTATACTTCTTGCTACATTATAGCCGTCTTACAGCTAGATACATTCTTTATTAATATTTTTCATACAAAATCTACAGATTACAAAATAGAAGAGAAAAAAGGCAGGGCAGTAGCTGCACACTAACCAAGGGCTGTATTTGGAACACCTATACATCTGGTGCAGTTCGACAACAGTTTGGTTGGTTGCATTCAATGCACTCGATCGCTAAAGTGGTTCTAATAAGGTGTTTAGTACGTGCATAACATAGGTTTAAGTAAATTTACCTCGACATCACTCATCTAAAATGCTGGCAAAAAGCCATACATGTCATGCATGCAAGTTTTTAAATTGCCAACTCGCTACATGTGCAGGACAAGGAGGAAAATCATAAACGCTTTCCTTCCCTCTCCGTATAAGAAGAAAGATTACAGGATACTTCTGGGACAAGCCAGCATGTTTGCTTGTATGCGTTTTATTTTTTTAATCGTAGGGGCATTGTTAGTACTTGTAGGTAAACTGAAGTACTTCTTTCCTCAGAGTTTAATGTGTAAAGTTGACAGAAGCCTCCAATTCTGCAGCAGCTGCATCGATTTAGAAATGCTGCTTCATGGCCAGCAGGTGGCAGCATTGTGTCATCAAATAGAAAGATCACAAGCAAGCCTGATCTTTCATTTTCACGCTAACAAAGAGAATAATCAAAATCGAAAATTAGACTACCTCGCATTCTAGTTCAGTGATATTAGGGATTATTTCATGATGTCAGATTTAAAAAAAAATTCAAACAATTTTTAAGGATCTAAATTTATATTATAGTTAAAATATCTCCATGTTTTTAGGTCAGCCTTTGAAACTTTACATGGAAAATTCAGCAGTATTTGTGTGCAGGTTATGATTTAATGGTGTGAAGTTGGCTCACATCACAAAACGTAACACGCTTCATGTGTCATAGGCTAAACAGTCTCAACCGCCAAGAGCAGGACGAGTAATTGTACAACGAACCGCGTTTGAACCTGCACTACTCAGGTGAGGTGGGGCTTCTATGACATGCCATTCACGCAAATCGGGCAAATCCACAGTGCAAAAACCCTCCCACCAATCAGAGCTTTCACGATGCGGTGAAGTCTCCTCCCTTTCTTGCCTCAAGCACATCCCAGTGTTTTGGTCACGATTTGGTGTTTTTGCTCAGCCTTGTCGCAAACCGGGGGTTTCTGTTACGCGCAAAGCTCGGAGTTTTTAATCAGGGACGCTCCAGTGCTTTACTTCATTTAGACCGTGTCAGTGAAAAATGTTTCCACAGCTTCAAAGGCTTTCCCCGTCATGACTTCACCGGGCGCTCCCTCCAGTTGAATGGGATCCCTCCTCATCGCCTCTGTGTCACTCGCTTTGGCACCGACTCTCTCTTCAGCTGCCCGTCTTCTCCAAAGCCCCAGTTTTAGGAATCAGTGAAGCTTTTTAGTGTATATGATCAGTTCATTAATGCTTTGATGCCAAATCCTCCGGTCTGATCGACAGAAGAGCGACGCCGTTAAATCTCCGGTAGCCTGCGCTTCACGGTGAGTAAAGCCAACTTGTTGTTTTAGTCGCTTGACAGGCGGACAGACAGGGATTAATAAAAAATGAATGAGCCGTTGGAGCTCAGCCGTGTATCAAATAAGTACAGACAAAGCCTCACTCTTTGGGGCATTAAAACAAACAAACATCTCTAATCTAAATTTACACTCAGCATCTTATTCAGCGTATATTTTTGTAAACAAGTGCTCCTGTTAATGGTGACCAGCAGCTGGTAGTTTTCGCACGTTGTAATAAATTAAACCACGTTGCATCCACACCAGTCTGAAAGTTTATCATCACAGTTTTTCTTGAATAACTAAACTACACGGGGTGTGAGGAGTGAGGAGTCTCTCCTCTGCTGTACGTGGCTTCAGGAAATAATCACACCACACCTTTTAGTTGCACATCCTTGATTTTAGGGCCATGGGAGTTTACACAAGTGAAACTTTCTGTCTTTTGCTCCAGTTGATTTATTTATATGAAAGCTGAAATGAGTTTAGATTCATTACATATATGTGTGTATGTATGTATAGTAGGATTTTGCTTGTTCACTCGTCATGACACATATTTTCCCTCTCAAATTCCCCCACACAGTTTAAAGACATGACTGTCATATGCTTAGGATTAGTCTCTCCCACTCAACATGACTCAAAAGGTCTAAATATTGACTCTGTTGTGGTGTAGTAGCTAATAACTGAAAAACTAGGTGTGCATATTTCAAAGTTATTGTACAACCTGTAACATAACGTTGAAAGCCATGCCCCTGAGAAGTTGTAGTTTCAGTCCATAATGTTTAACATTGTGATTAGTCATTGGCTTGCATTTAGTGTACACATCAGTCCCGACTCTCGGCCAATGGCTAGGATCTGCTAACCTAGCCTTTGTGTCAAAAATTAAAACCGATTTAGTGTCTAGACGAGATTTTCTCACAGACACTTAAATATTGGTCTCTCAGTTCCTGCAAGACGTCACCGTGCGGCATATGTGTTATCATGGCTGTTGAGATATGACAGCTGGCACAGCCCTTGTGCTCTCCACACACACACACACAGTTAAACCTGCTGTACCACTATTGCAGTGTGTTGTCGCAGCTTTTTGGTCTGCCTAAGATCGCAATATTGTATATAAACATTCAGCTTATTTTCTTTCTCTCACTCTAATCCTTTCTGAAACCTCAAACATTTCTCGGGAGACATATTTCAGTGACATGCGTGGAGGTTTAATGATAATAAAATTGCTGTTACATTTGATTATCAGTAGTGCATTAGACTAATCCTCTACAGATTTTCTAGTGTTTTTTTTCCTCCCATGTCTGTGTGTGTGTGTGTCTATGTGCGTGAATGTTTAGTCTTTTCCTGAAAGCATTAAAATGCTTGGCAGCAGGCAGAAAGAACATATTATTTCCCATGTGTTCAATATAAGTTGATCCAGCAACACGCAAGCTGATGCTCGAGATGAAGCAGGGCATGCTTGATCATTTCTGTTAACCACTATCTTCTCTCCTCATAAGTGTTTTCAGCTAATGTAAATACGGGTCAGATGTTGCCATTTTCACTATTATTAGCATGCTTCCTGCAACCAGTGAGTGAGAAGTGTTTCTCAAAGTGGTACGAGATGGTCCATTGTGATTTCTAACTGCCAGATTTCAGGCTCTGCAGAGGGGACCTAATGCTCCTTGGAATCCCATGAATGTCTTCAGTGAAAGCCATAGATGTTTATGTCAACTCCAATGAGACTAGTGGAAACTGGCTCTTGAGGCTGAAATTCCTGCTAATTGGCAACGTGGATGTGGACTGGCCGCTTTGTTCCCTCTTATACTGGAGTGGTTTGTCTGTCAGGGTGATGCACTGCGCCTGGCATCAATGAACTGCTTGTTTCCGCAGCTATCCAGACTGGGAGAATCAGCGTCTTTAAGACAAGTTGCTTCCACTTTCAAAAATGCCTTTGTGCACCTATTCATAGAGAAGGAAGGAAAGCGATTTGGGGTGGTCTGCAGAGAGAAACTGTTTCTCAGGAGTTTCAGCTAAGCGTTTTGTTAGTGATGTGTGTATTTGTCTCTGCCTTTAACTGCACTGAAGCAAAGTGAGCAGTGGCAGTAAACAGCTTTCACTCTAGCTGGCAGTTTGCTGAGTTCATCATTTGATCTCACTCATGTCCCACTTTCCTTTAGGTCAGATGAGGATTAATTGGCAGTGAGCTCTGAGGACATATTGTAATTAGATTTTTTTAAAGGATTTGCCTTTTGTGTATATTTATTGGTGTAGCTACATTAAAGCCATATAATTCTAATGTTAAATATCAAAACATAATTACACACACAGAGCTTAAGCACAAAGTTGTTATATATTATAAATAAACTGA